GGGGAGACTGAGAAAGATGGGATAAATTATGTATACTGCATTGAAACAGATGAGAGAGAGAACTATTTAAAAGGTACATAGGATTAGGCATTATTGTCATGACATAAGTCCAGAACAAAGGCTGCATTAGTGGAGTGGACTTGGGGGGAGGGATTGCATAACAATGAAAGAATTTTTCTTTTATTTTTTTTCTTTTATTTTTTAAAGAGAAGAATGAACTGGAGGGAAGGTGTGGGCAGGGAGAATAGTGTAACAATGTATGAATGGAAATCCAAAATCTCTGTAAATTTTCATTAAAATTAATAATAATACTAAAAAAAGGAAAACCAAAAAAAAACAAAACAAAAAGGTGGTATAGGATTAGGTATTATTATCATTACAGGAGTCCAGAATGAAGGCTGCATAGTGGAGTGGACCTGTGGGGAGGGATTGTATAACAATGAAAGAATTTCTTCTTTTACTTTTCGAAGAGAAGAGTGAATTGGGGGGAGGGATGGGCAGGGAGAAAAATGCAACAATGAATGAATGGAAATCCAAAGTCTCTGTAAACATTCATTAAAATTAATAAAATTTTTTTTTAAAATGATAAGAAAATTTTTTAAATCCCCAATTCAAAATAGATCAAGGATTTACATGTAAAGCCTAAACAAAACTATAAAGATCATAAAAAAAGATGAGGCAAACTTAGGAGCTCCAATCTATGGCATAAATGGACTGCCAAATGTAACTCAAAATGCACCGTCAACAGAGGATAAACGAGATGATTGAGATCTTCTAAAAATTAAATTCCTATGTGCATCAATAGACTTCTCCAAAACAGTAAAAGGAGAATCTGTAAACTGGTAAAAAGTATTTACCGATGACATCCTTAAAACGTGTTTAAAGCTTCAAGGCAAACAACTTAATTTCAAATGGGCAAAGAGCATGATAAGACACTTCACCGGAGAAGACAGTCATACGGTCGACATATGAAGAAGCACTCAAAATCATTAGATTTTAGAGAGATACAAATAAAAACTACAATGATATATTATCTCACCCCAGCAACAATAGCAAAATTCAATGAGACAATAAACAACAAATGCTGATAAGGTGTATAGCATCTGGCACTCTCAAACACTGATCATGGGAATGTAGAAACCAGTTGTTTGCACATTTTTACGATTGTAATACTGCAGTGAACATGGGTGTGTATATATGTATGTTTATTTCTCTATGGTATATACCTAGGAGTGGGATTGCTGGGTCATATGATATTTCTATTTCTAGCTTTTTGAGGAAGTGTTGTACTGTTTTACACAGTGGGTGTAAAAGGCAATGCCTTTTCCAGAACAATACAGTAAAGAGTATCCAAATGATCCACTGGGGCAGCATAGCCCCAATAACAAAGTACTGAGGAACACCTTTTCACCATGCATGCAAAGCACTAGTATTTGTTTCTTTAAGTAAATGCAGATTCTTAACTCATTCTCAGGGCAGTGACTATTTTTTTTTTTATGTTTTGGTCTAAATCTTAGAACACATTCATTCTCCTTTCCTCTTTTGAGGCCATATTACTCACTTCTGTTTTTCGGTTAGTTTTATCAGGGCTTCAACCAGCACAATCTGCTAGTAAAACATTTGACTTAAAGAAATGTCTTGTAATATGAAAATGTTGTGCCACAACAGTCACTGGATTGAATCCAAGGCAAAGTAGAAAAGTAGGATTCTTTTGACTCCAAGAGAAATTGCCTTGGTTATAAAAGAGGCAACTTACTTTGCATCCAGAGTCAAAGATCTCATGTGAGTTAGTTAACTCAGTACTGAAACATTTTTAATTACTTAAAAAAATATTTCATTTTTTGATTGTTGAAAATATATACCATAGAACACACACCAGTTCAATATCATTTTCTTGCCATAAAATATGGTTTATTTGGAATATCTACACATATAATTCAGTGACACTGATTCCATTTGGGGAATTATGCAACCATTCTCACCCTCCTTTTTCAAATTGTTTCTCCTCAAATAACAGAACCTTACTGCTTCCTAAGAATCTTTTCTAACCTTTCAAATTGCTGTTGTCCATTTGATCCCATATTTTGCTATTGTTGTTGTTGTTAGGTGTGTTGTGCCAAGCAAGACTTATGAACAACAAGGACCCTATGAACAACAGACCTGTCATATTCTGTACCATCCTCATCATATCTGACCTTTTGAGCCCATTGCTGCAGTCACTGTATCAATCCATCTAATTGGGAGTCTTTCTCTCTTTTGCTGAATCTCCATCTTCCCAAGCATGATGTTCTTCTCCAAGGAATAACCTCTCCTTAGTAACATGTCGAAGTATGTAAGACAAAGCTACAGCATCCTTGCCTCCAAGCAGCACTCTGGCTGCACTTTGCCCAAGACATATTGTTTGTTCTTTTGGCAGTCCATAAGATATTTACCACTCTAATCCAACACCACAATTCAAAGGCATCAATTATTCTTCAGTCATCCTTAATGCTCAAGGCAAACGTTCTTAGTAAGTTAAGCGAAACTTTTGTTTGGTTTAAAGACTTCAGGGGATGGTTTTGTTTAAGGTTTAAAGTTTGTCTCAGGCCAATATTTTGGTGGGTTCATTCAACCTCATTGGCTCCAGCAAGTTTAATAGCTATTTTTATTCACAATAGAAAAGAATAATCATTTCTATCTGGACTCAGAATAGCTGGAGAGACTGAGTTCTAAAGTTTTTATAGCTGTCTTTTAATCTTACAGGATATACACAAGGGTTCATAAATAATACTCAGGAGAGAGAATAGTTTGGTGAATGCACATAACAAAACCACTTACAGACACCAACTGGAAGATTCTCACCACTGGGCCAATTGGTAGCACCATGTAAGATGGAGAAGAGATTGAGCTTGTTAATAACTCCAGCTGGCTTGGCTCCACAGTCAAAACTCTTGGCACCAGCAGCCAGGAAATCAAAAGACAAATTGCACTGGGAAAATCTGCTGTCAGGGGCTTCTCCAGAGTAACAAGAAACGATGTCAGTCTAGAGACCAAGTTGTACCCAATCAAGGCTATGGTCTTCACAACTGCTATGCATCAGAGAGCTGGATAATGACTAAGGATGACAGAAGAAGAAGAACCAATGCCTTTGAGTTGCAGTGCTGGAGAAGAGTCTGTCATGGAGAGAGTGAAACCAAGTTTTTCCTTGAAGGCTAGGATTTTGAAGCTCTGTCTCACATACTTTGGGCACATGGCTAAGAAGGACAGGTCCTTGGAAAAGGACTTCATGTTTGGTTGGAGGGACAGTGCAGGAGAAGAAGACCCCAGATGAGATGGATTGACACAGTAATTTGGGCAATAGGGGTAGTTGTGTCAGTCATTCCCTGGCTCGGGACAGGGCAGGCTTCAGAGCTGTTGTACATAGAGTTGCTATGGGTTGCAGGTGACTCAACGGCACATAACAACAACAATCCTGGATGAGATGGATTGACATGGTGATAGGGGCAATGGAATTAGGTGAGTAGGAATCAGTGAGAGTGGCTCAGGATAGGGCAAGGTTCAGAGCTATTATACTTAGGGTCACTTTGAGTTGCAGGTGACATAATGGCACATAACAACAACAACACTAGTATGCTGTTCCAGGAACCCTGATGATACCTTTTGTTGCATATTGGGTTGCTATGAAAGGTTGGCGGTTTAAATTCTCCAGCTTCTCAGCAAGGAGAAAGGCATGGCAATGTGCTTCCATAAGGATTGGAAACCCCATGAGGCATTTCTGGCCTATATAGTCACTATGAATCAGAATCAACTTGATGGCAGTCTGTGTGAATGCAAGCACCAGCACCAACCAGCCCATCACCACTGAGTTGATTCCTGCTCATGGTGATCCTATGTGTACAGAGGAGGGTTTTCTTGGCCATAATGTTTACCCTCAATGTTAAGAAAACAAAGATTCTTATTCCTGGACTATCACGGCAACATCATGATGGACAGAGAAGAGATTGAAACTGTCAACAATTTCATCTTACTTGGATCCACAATTAACACCCTTGGTACCAACAGTCAGAAAATAACATTACATTGGGAAAGCCTGCAGTTCCAGACCTCACCAAATTATTGAGGAGAAATGATGTCAGTTTGATGCGTAAGGTGCATCTGATTCAGGCCATAGTTTTTCTGATCACTTGTTATGCATCTGAGATCTGGACAATGAATACGGATGACAGAAGAAGAATTGATCCTTTGAGATGTGTTCTTGGAGAAGAGCACTGAACATCCCATGGACTGTAAAAAGAACAAATATGTTTTGGAGAGGGTGCAGCTGGAATGCTCCTTGGAGGCAAGAATGATGTGGCTTTGCCTCACATCCTTTGGACATGTTACTAGAAGGGGCTGTCCTTGGAGAGGGACAGGATGCTTGGAAGGAGAGAGGGTCAGCAAAGAAGAGGAAGACCCTCACCAGGTGGATTGACACAGTGACTGCCGTACTGGACTCCTGTGTGTCAGGAAGTGTGAGGATGGCACGAGAGAGAACAGGGTTCAGATCCACGAGTCAGTATGAGTTGTATTCGACTCAACAGCACCAGATCACCAACCTCTAGAATAGCATTGCTCTTATTGTTGGGAGGTGCCACTCAGTCTATTTTGACTCATTATGACCCTATAAGACAGAGTAGAACTTACCCTTAGCATCTTCTAGCTTGTCATGACAAATACCTAAATAAATTGTAGTCTACCTATATATAAAATATAATATAGTGGTTAAAAAATAGGACAGTAACTAGTTTACTAATTAAATTGAAATGAGGTTCAACTAATTTGAAATTAATTTGCCTATGCACAGATTACTCTTGGAATAAAAGAATAAAACTTGTCAGTGTAATTACTTCTGAGAAAAAGACAAAAAAAAAAGAAGCATGGATGATACTTCATCTCATGTAGTCTGGACGTACTATCAGGAGATACTAGGCACTGAAGGAAGACATCGTGCTTAGAAAAGTAGAGGGTCAGTGAAACTAAGATTCTCAGTGAGATGGGTTGACACTGCCGTTGCAGCAATGTCCTCAAGCACAGCGGAGATTGTGAGGCGGACGGGGCCGGGCTGCTCTTCCTTCTGCTGTACATGGGCTCATTCCAAGTCAGAGCCTTCTCCTTGAGGGTTTCTTCTTTTTCATTCACCCTCTACTTTCCTGAGATAAAGGTCCAAGAGCAAACAGAGAGGGGCAGGCTGACTTGTAGGCAAAGCTGCATTCTCCACAGAGACCCGAGTTGTGTGGTCTGCTTCTGACTCAGTGTGAAATTCTGTTTCTAGTTCCACAAAGATTCCAAAATAACAAGTTCTCTTTCCTGTTTTGCAGGGGGGTTATCTCCATGGTCATTTTGAAAATGACAGAAACCCAAGCTGGAGAATACCAGCTTTTTATTCAGAGTGAAGCCTCCAATTACACAATCTTGTTTACAGTGAGTATACGAAGTAAGTTCAGCTTGCTACTAGGTTTCCGTTGTTTTCTGAGGATTGGGTTAAATGTTGATGGCTTTGGCCAGCGGCTCTAGACATAAGATGTGTCTGACTTGAGATAACTTTGGTCATCTGAATCACCTGTTGATCTCTGAGGTGGCCTGTGACTTTTGGAATATGAGTGCTGTTAAGGAGTGGGGACGTCCTCTGTAGGTTTCCCAGGGATACAGTGGAAGCGGAGGCAAGAAACTTTGGGACCTACAGCTAGAAGACTTGGGTTCTAATGATTCTATTTTAAGTAACAATTTTCTGTTGTCTTCCGTAGAAGTTTACACCACAGAGTTAGTTACTATTTGACAATTTCTGCACAAGTTATTCAGTGAAATGAGTCCATTCCTCATTTGTCCACATACTATTTAATTATGAGCTGGGTACTCCATTCAGTGCCCCAGTTCCCCTGGCCCCTTGTCTTTTCATCTTTGCTTGAGTTTCTGTTCTTATGTAGATTTCTCTTGTTTGTTTTTACTGGGACCCCACACTTATGAGTAATACCCTTTATTTTATGTGGCTATCTGTAAATTCACTAAAAGGTAGACTCAGTAGAGAGTTTCAGTTCAGGATTTGGAGAGTTAAAAGTGATAGTCCCACGAAGGCCTCTCGCCTCAAATGGTTTACTAAGTCTGAACATTTTAAGAATTCTAGTTCTGTGCTAGGTTTTTCTCACATTCAGTTTTCTTCTTGTTGTGTGTTGTAGAGTCAGAACCAACCCATAGCAGACCCTCCAGTGGGTTTTCAAAGCAGTAAATTGCCTGGGAAAAGACTACCCATCCTTCTTTGGCAGAGCAGCTGGCAGGTTTGAACCACATGCCTTTGGGGTTGCAGGGCAGTTTCTTACCACTAGGCCCCGAGAGCTCCCTCCATTCCTCGGAGCCATATATTGTAGCCTGAATAAAGGGGTCTGTGGTAATAGTTGTGTATCATCTGAATCTTCCAGTCTCAGGGTTGATGAGGTTGTGGTTCCTGTAGATATTAGGTTCGTGTAGATATTAAACCCTGTAGCCTAGTTTCTTCCCTGAAACTTTCATTCATTGTGTTCTAATCATCCATCTGATATCAGACCTCTGACAGATCACTTCATCTAAGCCTCAGTTTCCTTATGTATAAAATGAGAATAAAAATATGTATTTCATGGGATTCTGAGGTCTCAGCACTGTCTGAAACAACCTTCTGGGATGTCAGTGGAATCCAGAATTTCTAGATCTCCTGAGGTTAGATGAACAATTGGAACCATTACCCTGAAATAATGTTTATACTTAGTCCAAACCATCCTCTCAATTATTTTTTTAAATAAAATATAGCTTATTTTAACCATTGAAGTATGTCTCTATTTCTGAGAATCACATTCTTTTAAAGAATTATCTTAGTGCAACATTGAATGAATGAAAACCCAAAATCTCAGTAAATGTTTATTAAAACTAATAAAATTTAATAATTAAAAATAATTATCTGTGTGAGATCAAATGGATAATGGCAACTCAGAAAGCTAGATGAGCATCTGAAGGGGCAGTGGGTTTAAGACAATGTTGCTGGAGTGAATGTCCAGTCCTTGGAGAAGGACATCATTGCTTGAGGTGGTGTCAGGTCAGTGCAGGAGAGGAAGACACAGGATGAGAGAGACTGACGTAGTAACAGAGGTAACAGGGGTAGGTATGTCAGACTCGGTGAGCCTGGCTCAGGACAGAGCTGTTGCATGTAAGGTCACTCTGAGTCATAGGCGACTCTATGACACATAACGATAACAATGTGAAAAAGGAGAAGGAGAATGGAAGCACCGTTTGAAACTGTAGCCACTGTCACTGAATTGAGCATGTAGAAACTGTTGAAATGTGTCATTGTTTATACTTTCACTGAATTAAAATAAAGAACTAAAACCCCTTGAGGCAAGGACTAGACCCATTATACACAAAATGAAGTTCAGATGGACCCTGTTATGACCCTAAGGGAAAAATCTGACATGCTGTGTACATCTTTGCTATCTATCCAGTGTTGTAGCCTGTAAACCACATGCAGGAGCCCTAGAGGCCCAGTGGTTCACTTCTTGTCTGCTGATGAGAAAGCACTGGTGCCCTAGTGGTAAACACCTGTACTGCAATCCCAGAGCATGCATTTCTAGTCTCCTCCTGTGTGATTTACCGTCTCTGAAAATCCACTGGAGGATCAGCTACAATCAGTGCTGACTTGACAGCACACAACAATAGAAGAGCAAGTGGTTTAAACCTACCTGCTGCTTTTGCAGGGAAAGATGAAGCAGCGATTTACTTCTGTGGTGACTACTGCCTTAGAAACCATATGGGTCACTTCTACTCTGTCACTTGAGGTCACTGTAACTTGGAAGTGACTCAATGGCTGAGGGAAATGGACACACCATTTGTGGCTGCTGCACATTTGAAATGAGGCTCATAGGACTGAGACAACAAATTTAAAATTTTACCTCCTTTTGATTAAGGTTAAATAGCCACAGGTAGCTAATAGGTATTGTATCAGACAGCAGGGGTCCATAAGAATGCCAGAGTGTTGGGCATCATTTTCCCTAAAGCCAAACTCAGAGGCAGGAAAGGGGCAGAAAAGAAGGACAAAGGGAAACAGGGAGCCCAGGAGGAAGCAGGAAGAGTGCTGCCACATGGCTGGGATTGCAATCAATGCCACAGAATAAAGTGTGTGCAAATTGTTGAATGGAAAGCTAATTGGCTCTGCTAACTTTCACACAAACCACGATGGGGGTGGGGGGATCCATATCACTATGGAAACCACACGGCGCAATCTAAATGCTCTAAGGGTGGAAGCAGCTGTGTCATGGGCACAATTGAGGTACCAGCTGTGCACACAGGTGTGTGCGCTTTCTGGCTCCACCTTCTCAGTTGTGGTTGTACTCAGACCTCGCATTGGCACAGACTTAGTCCTCTGCTGAGCACCATGTGTTACTGTCAATGATACAACATAGATCAGAGATGGGGTGATGCCTTTAGAGCCTAGTGCATTTGGAGCCAGAGAATATTCCAGAAAGTCTGGGTTTGTGCAGTTTTAAATTAGGTTTGCTGTCATATACCAGGTAGTACATCCCCTCAAAGGCCTCCTTCTCCTCCTCTTCCTCCTCCTCCTCCTCCCCCTCCTCCTCATTAGTGGCTCAGATGCACAAAGCTGGTCATAGTGTACGTGTGTGTATGTGTGTGTGTCCAGCGCATAGAGGGGTCCTAAGTTAGGAGAACCACAGCCCCTTCCCTTTGGGGTCCCTGGTGGTGTCAGCAGTTACCCACTAGGCTGCTAACTGTAAGGCTGATGGTGTGTTGGGAGAAAGATGTGGTGATCTGTCTCCCCAAAGATCAGCTATTAGAAACCATGTTTCTTTGTTATTTAAAATTCATTGCCATAGAGTTGGAACCAACTCAAAATGGACCAGCCATTGGATTTCTGAAACTGTAAGCCACTGGTGGGTTTGAACGGCCACAGAAGTTCAACCTTTGGATTAGCAAGGCAATGACTACTGGGTTAGTGCAGTTGTAACAGAAATACCACAAATATGAAAGGCTTGAATAAACAGAAAACTATTCCCTTGCAATCTGTTGTTGTTGTTGTTGTTAGGTGCCATCATGCTGACTGTGATTCACTCGCAACAAGCAACACATCTGAACCTTTCACAGTCATGTGCTATCCTCATGGTCTCTGATGTGTCCAAGCACATTGTTACAGTCACTGTGCCAATTCATTTTGTTGAGGATCATCTTAGCTTTCTGGAGACTTTTTCCAGTATGGTGTCTTTTTTTCTAAAGATTGGCTTCTCCTGACAATATACTCAAAGTATGCGAGATGCAGTTTCACCATCCTTGCTTCTAAGGAACACGCTGATTGCACTTCCTCCTAGATCTGCTTGTTCTTTTAGCAGTCCATGATGCAGGCCATACATTTTCCCAGCACTACAATTCAGAGGCATTGATTGTTCTTCCTTATTCATTATCAAGCTTTAAGATGCCTAGGAAGCAACTGAAGAGATCATGTCTTGGATCATGTCTTTAAAACGGCATCACTGCTCTTTAGTACTTTGGAGAGGTTCTTGACACAGATTTTCACAGTGCAACATGTCTTTTGATTGCTTGGCTGCTGCTATCTTGAGTTTTGAGTTGGATTCAAGTAAAATGAAATAGTTGATACCTTTTATTTTTTTTTCTTCATCTATCATGATGTTGGCTGTTGGTCCAATGATGAAGATCCAAATTCAAGGTATTCTGGATCCAGAGAAAACTCTCTGATTCTAAGAGTTTCTGAAGAAACATGGTCCACTTCTAACTCTTCTTTGTTGGTGACACTGAGATCTCCCTTTCTCTGCTCCCTTTTCCGTTTATCTCTTGTGCCATAAAACATGGATACAGTCTATACCCCCAGGAAACTTTCTTTATATCAGATTAAGGCTGTGACCTATGTAAGGGTTTTGCATCTCATCTTGATATTCTTGTAACTGACTCTGAATGAACATACATTGTTGTGTCTTGCTGAATCTCTTCTATCTCATAGCATCAGCAATGTGACCCTATGTAACTACCCCTTTGGGATCTCTGGGCTGTAATCTTTGTGAAACTGGACCACAGTCTTTCTCCCATGGAGCAGCTGATGGATTCAAACTGCTCATCTTTCAGTTAGCAACCCAGAGCTTAACCGTTATGTGACCAGTGCTCTTTACATAAACTGTAGCTACATGCAGAACTATGGATGGATCTTAAAAACAAAGTTCCATGACAAAGCCAAGTTGTCAAAAATTACATGGAGCCGAATATTTGAAAATTGTTTAAAGACACATATAAAAGTGGCAAAAGTATTGTTTAAAACACAGAAATAATAAACACAAAGTTCTGTATACTACCTACCTGGGATTGAGATGAGGAGGAACTCAAAAGTAGGTTCAGAAATGGCATCCAAAGCTGGAGAACAGAGTCCTACATCTGTGAGTTATCTCACTAATAAAA